CACCTTATCGATACCATCCATGGAGGTGGAGAATCAGCGCCGGCCTTCCATTTCGCCTGTGTCGCCGCAGGTCACCGGAGAATCCCAGGCTCTCCCAGGAAATAGTTATGCAGCGACCGCGTTTTATAAAAACCTCGCTGCCCTCCGCCAAGCTTGTGTTTTCCCTTCATCTTTCTCTTCCTCACGCTGGACCGTTTCGACACCTTCCGCATCCCACTTTTTTCTCTCCTTTAGTCCCGTTCAGGGTTTTGTTTCTTCGGCTTGGGCTAGTTCCTCGTCCACACAGTCTCTCCCTGTCTTTCCATCACCGCAATACATTGCATATCTGCCCCTGGGACTCTTCTTCTCTGCCTGTGGCAATTTGTTGAGAGTTTCCTATCCATTCCTTCTGTGGATATATATATTATATACACAGTTTTGGTGCCAGGAAAGTACACATACCAAGTAGCTGCTTCAGGAACATTCGCTGAAAACCAGTCCTGCTTCAAAGAGGTACAACTCCCCCTTTTTTTAGATTCTGTTTTTGGTCTTCACTTGCGGGTAGCATTGCTTGTGTTATATCCCATATACCCCAGTTGTGTTGCTGTCAGCATGCTCGTGCTTGGATTGTTCGCATCCAGACATTTCCATTGTAATGGGAAAGGGGCGACAGTGCGGTATATCACTGCCTGGTGGAACAAGCCGCAACTGTTGAATGACAATATTTATATCCAACACTTTCTTCACCCTCCCATGACTTCTTTTTATCTTCTTCTATCTCCCCTGGCAGATCATTTTCACTCATTTACATCACCTCATCATTGTTCTGGATCCTTCCTGCTTGTTCCTCCTACTGACTGTCGATAAGACTATCTTCTTTGTCTGCTTGACTCCTGTCTCCTGTTCCCTCCAGCCGCTGTGTGGATTATCCGCAGTCCAAATCGACAACAGGTTCAACTGTTTCTCTCTCGAATCTTCTCGTCAGGAACGAGATATCAGATAAAGATTTCAGGAACCCTCGGAGCACTCGCATAGTAGTGCGTACATTCCTTCAAGAACCAAGCCAACAAAAATAAAAGCGCCTTTTTTCGGAACACTTCTGCGAAGCCGTACCGACAAATCCCCCAACAGCACTGCAATTAAAATCAAAACATTTGAAATAGATTAACAACGACCTAACCATGCAATTTCCCCCGAAATTTGTGGCTGCTGTCGCGGCTTTGTTGTCTGCAGGCACCGTCAATGCTCATATGAAGATTGACTCTCCCACTCCATTCAACCCCGGTTCTCTGAACAATAGTCCTCTCGATGCCAGTGGAGCTGATTTCCCTTGCAAGTTTGGCGAGTCGTACACACCCGGCGCTCGCGTAGTGCCCCCGGAAAACGTCTACGCCATTGGTGAGACACAGACCTTGAGCTTCATCGGGAGCGCCGTGCATGGTGGCGGATCGTGCCAACTCTCTCTCACTCAGGATCCGATCCCTAACAAAAAATCGGTCTGGAAGGTTATCCATTCCATTGAAGGAGGCTGCCCCGCGTCGGCGGATGGCAATCTTCCTGCTAACCCCGACGGACACGGCGCTAGTGTTTTCCATTTCAAGATTCCCAGCAGCATCGCTCCAGGTGAGTACACCTTCGCCTGGAGCTGGCTGAACCGCATCGGCAACCGTGAATTCTATATGAACTGCGCCCCCATCACTGTTACCGGAGGCAAGAAGCGCCGCTACACCCCGACCCCTCGCTCTGAGACTTCAAAAGTGGCTCTCGCAAAACGCCAAGATCTGCCAGATATGTTTGTCGCTAACATCAACTCTTGCCACACCACGGAGGGTTATGATATTGTCTATCCTGAACCAGGCACTTCTCTCGAGCGCGATGGCGTCCCTTCCAATTTGGCACCAATGGACAAGCCTATCTGCGTCTTACCCGATGGCCAGAAGATCATGCCTGGAAGTGGCGGTAATCCTGGTTACCCAGCACCTGGCCCCTCACCCACACCTTCGCCCTATCCTTCCCCCAGCCCTTCGCTGCCACAGCCCGCCACAACCCCACTGAGGCATGCACAATCCCCACCTCCAGCTGTCTCCCCAGGTAACTTCGCAACAGTATCACAAGTCATTCCTGGACCCTCTTCCGCCCCAACCAGTCCTCCTCCTGCCTCTGCCCCAGGTGCAAACCCCCCTCCCAGTAACAACAGTGGTAGCAGCATGTCTGGTGCTTGCTCAAACGAGGGTGAATGGAACTGCATTGGTGGCACTCAATTCCAGCGCTGTGCGAGTGGTCAGTGGTCTCCCGTCATGGCTGTAGCTGCAGGAACCCAATGCACATCGGACGCCGGCACGTTTGCGATCACTGCTGCTAAGAAGAAGCGCGATCATGTCGCCAAGATCCATCGACGACGAGGACACTCTTAGGTGCTGTTGTCTGGGAGGGAAATAAATAGGAATAGAAATAAAAAGCGGGGAGAGGCGGAAAAGGCGCAAGTAGCGAAAAAGCGAGCTGTACATATCAACTTCGTTTTTTCCCCCCTTCTCGAGTACTTCTTGTGGATTTTTCCTCTTGCCTTATCTATTTTCTGATCTACTACCACTTGACAGCGCAATGACGTTTATCTGGACAGGGATTCACAAATTAGAAATCTTGCCCACCCCTTGCATATTTTTGTTGATATTCTCTTCGTTGGCATGTCTCGCTAATTCTAGGATTACAGACTGTCTAGCTTAGGGGTTAACTTTTTAGGCGTATTTTATTTTTTTCTTCTACTTGCGTTTCTTTTTAAATCTGGGATGCTCATTTTGTCGGACACGGGACTCTTTTTTTTGTACTTAACTTCTTGACTTCAAAATTTTTTTTTGTCTTTTTACATTTCAAACATTTGTCTCTACATAAAAACTTTCTAAACATTTTCATCAGCGACCGATAAGGTTGTTAGGTGATACCTCTTGTGAAACAAAATGTATATCAACACAGTGCCTCATCCTCATATACTAACTCCCACAAACCCTGCTCCGAGTGTTACTCCACTCAGTGCATTTTCTTGTACACGAGGAATACATAACATGTGCATGCATGTCCCATGCTGCAGGACAAGACCCCAGACCCTCTGGTTTTTCACACCTTGAGCATAACACTATATAATAGTGAATAATGAGTTCCCCCAAGTCACCAATCGCCGCCCCGCTCTTTCTCTTCGACTCTTCCTTGCTTTGTCATCTTGAAAAATATGATGCGTTGTAAAATACATAAAAACGTAAATGGTTTTATAACAATAGGTATTCATATAGCTACTTCTATCTATGTATCCTTAATAGAGGTAAGTTCCAACAAAGAACGATGTTAACACCCTAACTCGCATATGCCTTTGCGTACTTGATAGAGACGGAAGGTTCTGGGATCGAAATACTTTTTCTGTGGGAAGCTTATACTGGATTCAGATAGCTATAAATAAATGAGTTCTTTGGGATATTGGAACAGAAATAGCAGCTTCACAAAATATTAATGGTCATTGCGCTGACAATATAAAAAGGGTGACAAAATGCGGAAAAATAACAACTTAACTAGGAGGCATGCGCCCCGTCGGGCTTCACGTTTAATTTTTTTTTATACTGGCCAACTTTGATTCTGGGCAATATAAGAATATATATAAAGCTCTGCCGTTCTACTAAAACACATTTGAATGTTCCTTCTGAAAAATATTAAAGCAGTTTCAGTTTTGAATTCTTTGGTTTCTCTTTAAATTGTTGGATATAATAACTCCCCTCTCTGCGCTCGAGAGAAGTGCCTGGTTCAGGATAGGTAATATCATAACCATCCGTGGTGTGGCAAGAGTTGATGTTAGCGACAAACATATAGCTTATCGGGAGTACATAGCATTCCACGCGCACCGGAAAATTTGTACGATAGCTTCAGCGAATTAGCTATAGATTTCATAGCTAACTTACTTGAAGCCAGGTTGGGCAAATATCATAAAAGGAAGTTGATCACACTCTTTACACACAAGTGGCCCAACTGGCCAAAATAGAACCGAACGTACCAATCTGCAGTGGCTGGTTTATGGCAATCGCTTGTTAATACGTAGATTCGACCGAAAGCATTCGGTTTAGTATATTCCTATTGAATTATCATCGGATTGATTCTCTCCTGATGAGGCAGAAAATCGAAGGAAGAAATAGAAATAGAAAATAAAAAGGTGTTGGCACATCCATGCATGCTAAACGTCCCACAACAGGGGCCTGTTAGTGGTACTACGGCTACCCTATCACGTGCCCCCCAACATATTGTGTTGCTCTCGCGTAGTTAGTTTTAGTAATGACAACAACGTTATCCTCCCACAGGTTATGAGCCCTTAGAAGCAACAGAACCGCTGAAATAACGTGCTAACAACGTCTCCACGCATCGTTAAAAGCGTGCCTAGACGATTTAAACCCCATGGTTAATTTGAGATCGGGTGGAACGCCTGATTTGACGAAAGAATACGTGACAACGCGTAGAAGAAGAAATCCCCAAACGCCAGAGGCACAACAGGAATCGAACGCAGGTTTACCAACGCCTGCAACCAACAAGGTGACTGCCCCGGGGGCATTTGAACCTGACGACACAATCGAAGAGGAATCGAACGAGTCGAATATCGAATACGAAGACCCGGTTAACGACAACGAAATGTCAGATAACGCGGGTGGCCCTAGTAGCCATGATGTGAGCGAAGAAACTCGCATGAGACTGGAGATCGCGAGACTCCAACATGAAGTCCAACAAATGAGAACTGGTAGGGGTCAGGCCTCTACAAGTGATGAGAACATCAGTGCAGATCTAGCAAACTATCTGCAGAGGAAAGGCAGAACGTCTGCTATCGTGAAAATCCTTAATGAGTTCCGTGATCAAGTGAGACCCATAAGGAAGCCAGTTGTACTGACCGGATCTGGGAACTACCCCATGTGGAAAGAAGAGATCCTCCTCGCAGCGAGGCAATCTGAAACCGATGACATCCTTGATGAGAAGCAAATAGGCCCTGATGATAACGCCAGCACTGATATGCAGCGATTTTGGAAAGAACGCAACATGTGGCTATACAACTACATGTGGTCATCAGTTGCCCCACAGGCAAAATCTCATTTTACTATACCCAAGGATTGCGAATTATCTGCGTATTCTCTATGGTCTATCATAGAGGACAATTTCGCTGAAAGGCCTGCTGTCCTAAGGACAAGGTTATACAAGGAGATGACGCTACGAGATACCGATGGGCAATCTTGATGATGTCGAAGGGTGAGTCTACCGCGAGATTAATGAACTTCATCACAGGCATTGAGGCAACTACGCAACGCCGTGTAGGCACCCTACACTGGGATGGTGGCAGCGAGTTTAAAGGCCAAGATCTGAAGGCCTACTGCCAGAGCAGAGGAATTGCGTATGAAACGACTACGCCTGATACGCCGCAATCGAACGGCCCTGCTGAACGCGCCAACAGGATTGTTGCAGAAAAGACAAGAAGCCTTCTATTTGATAGCGGACTAGCTAAGGAATTGTGGGGTGAGGCGATGCAAGCCGCGATCATGATGATCAACACGTCCCCAACGTCAACTAAGATATACGGATGCAAGCAAGTAGTTCCGCTTACGCCATTTGAGGCATGGACTGGGGTGCAACCTACTGCCCATTGGATACGCAGGTGGGGGTGCAAGGTCTACAAGAAGAACCTAAAGGTTACCAATAAGCTCGCGGATAGGACTGACGGCAAGGAATGGCAGCTAGTTGGCTACCAAGGACTGCACCAATATCGTATCTGGGACCCAATTGGCCGTCGCCTTGAAATCGCGCGAGATGTCGTATTCGACGAAGGACTAGACAAGGGTGAAACCACGCCTGCGAACGTGGTGAGGCAATCGAGCGAATTACCAGAAGAATTGGACGTACTAGATGCTGCTGATGGGTGGCAACACTGCCTCCTGCGACACCTAGCAAAGGTGAAACCTGACGTTTTGAAGATGATTGCCAATGGGGATCTTGAAGGTGCGATAGATCCAACATACCTTCTAGATAATGAGACAGAACTTGTCGAGAATGATGAACCAGAAGACCCTGCCAATGAGGACGATCCTGTCCTGAGCACCCTAACTGACCGCCCAACTACCGTGGCGGAAGCCAAAAGGAGCCCTGATTGGGACTACTGGTATGAGGCGATGAAGAAAGAGGTCAGCATGTTTGAGAACAAGCAGACATATATTGTCGTTGAGAAGACCCCAGGCATGGATATCTTAACTGGTAAGTGGGTGTTTGATCGCAAGTTGAACAATAAGGGAGAAACAATCCGGTTTAGAGCTCGCTGGGTGGTTAGGGGATTCCTCCAACAACAAGGAGTCCACTATACAAAGTCGTACGCCGCGGTGGTATCAGGACCCACGTCACGGAGCTTATTCGCAATCTCAACGGCAAAGGGGTGGAAGGCAAAGGCGATCGACTACGTCTCCGCGTTCTTGAACGGCATACTACCGCAGCACGAGATGGTATATATGCAACTGCCTACAGGGATTAAGCACGGCAGGGGGGGCCTGGTTGGCCTGCTCCGCCAGAGCCTTTACGGGATGAAGCAAGCAGCGAGGGTGTGGTATTTCCTTGCGACGGAACACCTCACCACTCTAGGATTCAAAATCTCGCCGTACGATGGCGGATTCTTATATCACCCTATTCGCAAGATCTACCTGACATTGCACGTCGATGACTGTCGGGTAACGGGACCCCAAGAGCAGCAATTAGACTGGATATTGGCAGAGATTGCTAAAAGGTTTGAGACAAAGGATGTCGAAGAGAACAAGCCCTACCTTGGAATGGAAGTCAAACGTCAAATGAACGGCGACCTAGCGGTTACCCAGAACCGTTATATCGATGAGATCCTTGAGGATTTTGGAATGGACAAGGTCAACCCGGCCAGCACGCCGATGGCGGCCGGCATACGCCTAGAATTCTCACCAGATGAAGATAGCGGGTTAGATGACGATTTTACTGCTACTAGATATCGTCAAGGCTTAGGATCGCTGCAGTATTTGGTGTCAAGCAGCAGACCAGATCTGGCATTCGCGGTCAACTACCTCTCACGTTTCAACTCGCGTCCGCACAAGGAATGCTGGGCAGCATTAAAACACGTCCTACGCTACGTCAAGAAAACGAAGGATCACGGAATCCTATACAAGAAGGAGATGATTGGGGGACTCAGTCCTGTCGCGTACAGCGACTCAGATTGGGCAGGGGCAGACCCCCAATACAAGTCAACTACAGGTTACATTATCCTGCTAAACGGATCACCAATCTCGTGGCGGTCGCAACGGCAGACCTCAGTTGCAAAATCAACCACTGAGGCGGAGTATATCGCGGCAAGTGAGGCAGCGTGCGAAGTGATCTGGCTGAATGACATGTTATTTGATGCTGGATTAGTAGAAGGGAAAGCGAAGGTATGCTCGCACCTGCGAGTTGACAACAAGGGCGCGATAGATCTAGCAAAAGGGGAGTCCTTGACAAGGAGGTCACGTCACATCGAGATCAGATACCATATCCTTCGCGATCTGGTTGAAAAAGGCGAAATCATGATGGAACACGTTGGTTCTACGGCCAATATAGCTGACGGCCTCACCAAGCCACTGGCAAGGCCTGCCTTCGAAGAATTTGTTAAGAGGATTGGCTTAATGGAAATTGGCAAGAAGGGGTGAAGGTAATGATGATACGGGAGTTTACAGATTTTGCTTGTGTTATCCTGTTTTTTACGGTTATTGCCATACGGGAGCCTATTCCCAAAGAGGAAATCAGGGTCTTATTCTTGTAATTAATTATTATTGCGTTTTTAGAAGAATTGAGCAAGGGGGGGGCCCCCGGGCGGCAGAGCTTTGGCGGCGCCGTAGCACGGGGGGGTGTTAGTGGTACTACGGCTACCCTATCACGTGCCCCCCAACATATTGTGTTGCTCTCGCGTAGTTAGTTTTAGTAATGACAACAACGTTATCCTCCCACAGGGCCACTGATCACATGATCAAAATGTTACGTAATACGCCAAGCGACCCGATCAGGAACTCAGGGCTTAGGGTTTTGTGGTCCTACCAGAGCCGCCTTTCCCAAGCGAGAAAACCCACATTGACGGATCGTGGGTTCGACGACGACAACCTCTGCTCTCAACCATCATCGTCAACCACGATCAGCAACCTGTGGACAAAATGGCATCTCGCCCCACCGTCACCGTCGCCAATGCCGAAGGCAAGCCCAGCGGTGCGACCCAGCCTCTGCCCGCGGTGTTCGCGTCACCAATCCGTCCCGACATTGTTCAGTAGGCTCCCGATGAAGGAAATCGTGAACAGGAAAGAGAAGCTGATGATGAGATTAGGTCGGTACATACTGGTATCGCGAAAAATAAGAGACAGCCGTATGCTGTGAGCGAGAAGGCTGGCGAACAGACTTCAGCTGAGTCTTGGGGTACTGGTATGTGAAATTTCGTAAGGGCTTCAATTGGGGGCATCGATTTTGGTGTGGACTACGGTCGAAACTGATACAAGGTCACTCTACAAGGCCGTGCTGTCGCTCGTATTCCCCGTGTCTCTGGAGGAGGAACGCACCGTGCTGGTCAAGCTGCATTTGGTAACCAATGTCGCGCCGGTCGTATGTTCGCTCCCACTAAGGTCTGGAGAAAATGGCACCAGAAGATCAACCTTGGCCAGAAGTAAGTTTTTTGCAGAACGAAGCTCAATTGACGCTTGGGATATCGAAACGCGAAATGGAACCCAATGAATGTCAAACCCCCATAAATCTAATGCTATTCTACCCAGACGATTCGCCACCGCTTCTGCGCTGGCCGCTTCTTCCGTCCCTGCGCTCCTCTACGCCCGTGGCCACCGTATCTCTAACGTGCCTGAAGTTCCCCTGGTGGTTGACTCCAAGGCATTTGAGAATGACTCCATCGCTAAAACCAAGGCTGCCATCACCCTTCTCAAAAACCTCGGAGCCGGCCCAGATCTCGTCAAGGTAGAGAAATCTCGCAAGCTTCGTGCCGGAAAGGGAAAGATGCGTGGACGGAGATACCGCCAACGCCGTGGACCTCTGGTCGTCTACAACCCGGACGTCGATGGAAAACAGCTCGTCAAAGCTTTCCGTAACATCCCCGGCGTTGAGACCTGCCCTGTCTTCGCTCTTAATCTCCTCCAATTGGCCCCTGGTGGACACCTGGGTCGCTTCATTGTCTGGACCTCCTCTGCATTCGCTGCTCTCGACACCATTTATGGCTCCACCACCGTCCCATCCGCCCTTAAGAAGGACTTCCTCCTCCCATCCAACCTCATCTCCAACGCTGACATCACCCGTCTCATCAACTCTTCCGAAGTCCAATCCGCCCTCCGCGAGCCAAAGGGATACGCCAGAACCAAGAGAGGTGCTGTCCAGAAGAAAAACCCCCTCCGCAACAGACAGGTCCTCCTCCGACTCAACCCATACGCTGCAGCTTTCTCCAAAGCGAAGCTCGGCCAGCAGAGCATCAAGTCGGGCAAACCTGAGCGGGCTGGTGAGACTTTCCATAAGATTCTGGCTCAGGAGTAGACATGTTAGGGTTCCCTTTTGTTTTTCTTTTTGTTTTTCATAAAACAGAATAATGTGAAAATTGTGCTTTAGCTACTCGGAGCATCGCGGGCTTTTCATACGAGGGTGTTCATTTCATTTCATTTTCTTGTTCCTTCTTTCCCAAACGTCGGGAATTCTGTTCTCCACCCGATTTGTGC